CATAGGGAAATGGTACCAACCGGAAAGTGCTGACTACTACCGATCTCAAAATTATCAGATGAACTCAGAGACTGGCGCCTGGTTTTATTTGATAAAATGTCCCAGAAAGGAAATAGAAATATATTCGAAACGTTTCTTTCTTAGAAAACATGCAATGGCCGTAGATGCGTTGGAGGATAGTGCAAAACGTGGAGAAACCTCTATGAGGCAAACCTGCTTACGAAGTGATGTGTGAACTTTGCCCAGTATCAATCTAATAAGTACCATTTTAATGATCAGATATAAATATTGGTTGGTCTGCTGTTTAAGTTCTGTTTTCATCATATGACGGTGACGAAACAACAGCAACAACGATTCAGATGTACTCTGAGTCGAAAGCCTTCTCGAAATCGACAAACCCCAGGTAGGTAGAAAGCAGGTTCGTTGCTTGTTTGAATTACTAGTTTTATCACTTTGAAATGATCCATCGTAATTCTATTTCTGAATCCTGCTGGCTTCTTTGACTGTACAGCGTCCAGGTTTTCTTGAAGTCTGTTTGTCACTATCTTTGGGAAGATCTTATAAATGATTGACAACAACGTGATCAGCCTGTGGCTTTTCAAATCTTCTCTGTGTCCCTTTTTGTGTAATAGAATTATCGATACGGTAGTTAGTCCAGTCGTCTGGAATTTTCAGTTCTTTTAAACAGTATGGCAACAAGCGCCCTAATACCTGGGTCAGTGAATCCGGTCTCTTGAATCCACTAGTCCCACCAGGAACCCTTCCTGGTCATGATAAATCTGCTATCGCCAAAGTTCACTTAAGTAAAAAGTTATAATATAGTTACAATATATAGTTAAAAAGTTTGTGTATTAAGCAACTAATACAAATACTTCTAGAGATTCCTGTTTCAGTACATAGAAATCTACTAATTTTACGGTTTTGACTGGTGATGTTTCAAATGCAGATTCTATCGTGTGTTAACTGCGGAGCGGACACGTTAGAATTTTTCTTTTATCTTTCTTCATTTGAACTCTCCTGTTGCGAATTTTGGTCTCCTTTCAGACTGATCAGAGAGGTCGGCAGTAAATGGTCCTGGCCTTTCGCAAACTGTATAAGTACTGTTGATGGCCTTTCAAAAAACGGCGATATCAGGTACTGGATATACCGAGGATGTGGCAGCCACTCTTCAACCTTTGACCATCTGCCATGTCGCGTTGCGAAGAGTCTGCATTATGTTACAACTCTCTCCATATCATCCTGACTTCTCGCACAAGCATCATAACTTCGGTCCCTTGCTCTAGTACGAGATTTCCTCTCGCCATGTTCCGTAACTTGTCGTGCTTTGTCGCATCAACATTCTCTTGGAATACCTTCGTTTCTACTGATTATGGCCAGGTGCTGATAACAGATCATGAGGCTTGAGATAACATCGCTCTGTCGCTTATGGTAAATGATTGTTAGTTTTTTGAATTCATGAATCATGTTTCATTACCGGTGAGTATCTTAAATTGTGATGAATCTCAGATCAGTTGGGATTTAATGTATAGTGCTGCGATTTACTTTTCTGTATTTTAGACTCAGTTGCTCCCGCAATGTCTATTTCGCAAATTGGCCCAGCGCTGACCAACGGCTTCAAGGCATCCGAAATGGATAGCAAAGAAAATACGTTGAACGTATGCGAAGATATCACTTGCACGAACCACGTAATGATACTGAGAGGCAGATTCTTTCCTCTGAGCATGTTCTGTTGTTGTCCGTTGGTTTTCAGAAAAAAACGTTATCGATCGGTTGCTCATTACGTTTATCTGAAGTGGTTTGGCTCTAGTGGATGTGATATAAAGCTTTTAGAGAAGTTCTGGACTACCCCTGATGCGACGCACTTGCCCGAAATCGCTGCCAGTTACTCATTTTCAACCGAAGAAAACTCACCTGATTTGGAGGCTTCAGCTTCGAAATTGACCACGTGGTTCGAGAGGACAATGAACTTGAAGTTTGAGAAGAACCCCATTTTGAAAGAACTTCTTTTGGCAACAGGCGACGCATTGTTGATCGAAACCGCCACCACCAGTTCAGATTTACTGTGGTCGATTGGAATGACTGAGAATGACCTGTATCGTCTGCTGGCACTTCCGTATGTCACACCATACCATCTTTTGAAATGGAGCGTTGATCCGAAATCGAAGCCTTCCAAGTTTCAGAACGTGATCGGTGAAAACCGATGCGGTGTCTTTCTGATGCGTCTCAGAGCCCAGCTCCGTTCGTTGCAGTGCGCAGCTTCCCCAGCAGTGAAGAATTTTGGCAAACCCGATAGCGAAAGTCTTGATGCTCCTGACGGTCTGTTTTCGTGCATTATGGACGGTTACCACACCGTGATGGTATCGGACCAGCGTCTCGTGTGCTTCACTATCGACAGCGTCTTTCATCCGAAATACTATGCTGCCATTTCGGCAAGCGGTGGCATTCTGATGCCTTCTGCTTGGCACCTCGTTTTTTTTGAGGGATGTCAATTTTTAGGTATTTATACCTTTTAAATTTGTCATACTGTATCATCGAATTAACAAAGGAGGCGTTCGAACCCTTAGTCCTGTAACAGAATCATAATTAAATAGCATGGTAGCCAACTGAAAGCAGAGATTTGAAAGCAAAATTCTTTCCATAGAAACTAGATAGTTTCTCTTCACCGATATACCGTCCATGGACTCATCTGGAAAATCCATGATGGATTTTTCCATCGGGAAAATATCGTCTAATTGTCCTCCTTTTCCCACGGCCAAGCTACGAAGCGGCGGTTCGGCGTCGAGACGGGGGGG